CAACATTCGGCCCGTTGAGGAACTGAACAATTTGTGTAGACAAATTTATATCGTTAAAAACAATAACAAAGAAAGGATTTAGGCAAATGAAAGAAAGGCTGGGATCTTAGTGTTTGGAAAGGTGTTAAAATCATTCAAATCACAGCGTCTAGGCACACGTGACATAATAAACTCAATGAAATAAACACATTGCTACACTTTCCATGATTACGGAATCTATTTTTAAATGATTAAGATTTACTTTATGGTGTACAATGAAAGCATACGAAGCAGATTTTTATGCTGCATATAAGCTGATTAAATAATGATGTGTACTTCCCAATTGTTTATGATTTTTGCAAACAGTCTGGGGCAGAAGTGCGGGAAACACGCTTCTCAGCTTTGCCGACTAATGTCTCAAGAGAAGCTACCCAAGCATGCCTAGCATTCGATGTTATCAAAATATGCCCATCTCCTTCTCCTTTGGTCTATTCTTTACAATTTTCAATTTCCTGGTCTCTCTCTCTCTCTCTCTCCTCTCTCTCTCCTCTTTCTCTCCTCTCTCTCTCCTCTATCTCCTCTCTCTCTCCTCTCTCTCCTCTCTCTGTCTCGCTGTCCTCTCTCTGTCTCTCTCTCCTCTCACTCTCTCCTCTCACTCTCTCCTCTCTCCTCTCTCTCCCTATCTCTCTCTACCTCTCTCTCTCTCTCCCTATCTCTCTCTACCTCTCTCTCTCTCTCTCTCTCTCCTCTCTCTCTCTCTTCTCTCTCTCCCTCCTCTCTCTCTCCTCTCACTCCCTCTCTCTCTCTCTATCTTACACTATCCATCTATATATATCCGTTAACATCTACTTCTGTACGTGTATCTATTCATGTATTTATCTACCTCTCACCCCTAGGTCTCTAACCATAGGTCACACCATTTCTCACTCGCGGCTTAAGCGTAGTAACATTATATCAAATGGTAAAAATGGCACAACTTCGTTATCTTTTCATTGCCAGGGGGATTGAACATTTTCTTCCCATTTTTATATTCATTTTCAAAAGTGATCATTTGATCTGCATGCAAAATTTGGTTGAAATGGATCTTGTCCAAAAGTAACATTCTCAAGTTATCTCCAAATCTTCCCAAATAATAAAACAACGTATAGCTATAATTGGATATTTTAATACAAATGTATGTGATTTTTACTTCTTACAGAGATCTCTTATGGAGAAGAATATCTTCGTCCCAGAAAATAAAGTGATCGATTGCGCATGCGTTAAGTAAATTTAATGTTAAGGGCTTTGCTTGAACAAAAATACACATGACCGTTTTTAAGTCTTTTCATTTTAATTTTGATGTTTTTCTCTCCCCCCCCCCCGTCCATTAACACGTCCATAATCCTGTCCATAATCCTGTCCATAAACACGTCCATAATCCTGCCCATAATCCTGTCCATAAACACCTCCATAATCCTGTCCATAAACACGTCCATAATCCTTTTCATAAACACGTCCATAATCCTGTCCATAAACACGTCAATAATCCTGTCCATAAACACGTCCATAATCCTGTCCATAAACACGTCAATAATCCTGTCCATAAACCTGTCGATTGTCGTAAGCTCACATAACCATTCATACCTGCACACCAACTCATCATGTGAGCAAAGTGACACAATGTACGGCCCCGCTAGTTTCAGGACCTGTTAAAGGAAGTGATTGTACCACTTGCACTTACACTTCTGACCACACCTCGCAGTTGTAACACGACCCGGCCACGCCACACAATGGTAACTCCAATGATCCACAACTCACAGTGGTAACACGACTGACCATGCCTCACAGTGGTAACACCAATGACCAAATCTCTCGTTGGTAACACCACTGACAGCGTCTAACGTCTAAAAATGGGAACACCAATGAGCACGACTCACAGTGGCAGCGCCACTAAACCACACCTAAACGTGGTAACACCATTGACCACAACTCAACGTGGCAGCGCCACTGAAACACACCTAAACGTGGTAACACCATTGACTACGCCTCCCAATGGTAACAGCACTGGTCACAACCACGCGTTGGAAAAACCACTAAACACATCTGTCAGTGGTAACACCACTGAACACACCTCACAATTGTGTCACTGCTGACCATAAGTCATAGTTGCAATTCTACTGACCAAACACACATGTAATGATAACTACAGTTTTGATACCACAATTCTGGTCACGTGGAGTGACCAGCATTCGGTATGTCCAGCACTTCCGGTTAACTGGTACTTGACACAAGAGTTTCATGAGTAGCCCTTCATGTCCGGACCAGTCGGTCTCTGTAACTTCCGTTTTTATTAATTTTTTTTTAAAAATGACTAATATAAAGACAGATGTCATGGACACATTTCCCATGACAAACTAGCATACAATCCCCCCAAAACAGGCCCAAAAAAAACCACACAAAATAACAACATTTTGGTGAATATAAATATCAGTATGGTCATTGTATGTAGTTTGAGAAACTATTTTGAGAAACTGCAATTGTTTTCTTCTTGTCATATCAATCAAGCAAACCATAAATCAATGAGGAAAGAAACCGTCTGGCTTTGAGGCTTTTTTTAATATAATTCTATGATCCAAGATTATCTGCTATGACATCACAAAAAGTCACGTAACATCCAAAGGTTGCAGAGGGCGCTAGATCAAATCCTCTGCTCTTCTATGGTGAGCAGTTACAATAAACATTATTCCAATCAATGTTCGTCCCCGATAAGATAAAATATAATTTTTATTATGACGTTTCTTGAAGTTCAAACATGTGTTTGTTTATTTTATATAACATAAACTATATTCAAAAATCACTTTGTTTTAGTTTATATAACAGAAAAGGTATTCAAACAAGATTTTTGTTTACTTCATAAAACAGTAAAAGTATTCAAAAAACCATTTTGTTTATTTCGTATAAAAATAAAGATTTTCAAATAAGATTCTGTTATTAAAATAAAAGATGATTAATAAAAAAAAAAAAAAATAAACACTTTGTTCAAGTACAACAGTAAAGGTAAACTTGAAATAAAGACACAATAAAAAATTGAACGTTTCAGCTTATACCTTCATCAGTTAAACAAAACAAAAAATTGTAATGAATTCAAATTAAAGACTATGTTTCATATCTTTAAAAAAAGGGGGGATCACAGACAAACACGCATACACACACAAATACACACACACACGCACGCACACAAAATAAGTTGGTTGTCTCATCAAATCTCCATTAGCCTTATCGCCGTGAAATACAAGCCCCTTCTATAAAATATAAAGCTTTATTATAAACATACTTTGAACGTCCCAATAAACAACCTACTACACTACAGATTTTCTCATCTGATTACATCACAAAGTAACGAGCTCTGGCGCTGGTAGCGTTTAATGTTAAGGTAAAAACAATTTGTTATTTCTTTCATTAAAGTAAGAGATAAAATCCAAGACAAAAAAAAAAGAAAAAGAATTTTGTTATAGAAAACAATAAGATAACTCTGGGTAAAATCTACGGGCGAGCCCCCCATGGTTGTGACAGAGAAAAAAGATGGATCCATATCACCGGAAGGACCACATATTTGTTATATACCGTTATAAAGTTGTTTTTTTTTAATAATCTGGCATAAGATTTGGTTCGTCAGGTGAACAATTCATAACAAAGAGCAGAAAACGAATAACTTTAAGAAAACAAAAAAGATACATTTGCATGATGATATTGACACTAATCAATTTAATAATACTAGAAAAATTGATATGAAAATACAAAAGAAAATATATAGGCATAGAAAACTTTATTAACTTACAGCACAACAAGTGAAAAGTATAATACTAGAAAGATATAAATCTAAATCCACCCAGGGAAAAATCCACTGAGTCTTGTAGGACTCCCTGTGAATCTGAAATGTCCAGTCACAGGTGGCCGTCGTATTTATGGTGAGGGGATTCACAACCCTCCAGATCAGAAAGTCCAGAAATTCAATCGTCGGAGAATATTTCTCTCTTTATGTACAGTAGTAAAGTTTAGACACTTGAGGAAACGAAAAAAAAAAACAAAGAGCCCTTAATTGTTGACTTCTAAGTCAAAAAAAAAAAAAAAGGGAAAAGGGAAGGGGGTAGGGGGGTTAAGGTAGAATGCCGCGGCTCGTGGTAGACAAAAACTAGTTCAACACACATGCTTTAAAAAAAAGTGATTAAAACATGAAATTATCATTACTTAATGTTTCTGTTTACAATAGCGTTTGTTCGTACTTGGTAAATATCGTTCTATTCTTATGTTATATTATTTTCACTTTTTTTTATTTTCTAAAGCCATCTGAAAGTTGCTTATAGTATCAGGATCAATAACGCAGCTAAAATAATGTTGGGCCTTTAACCACACTGTAGTACATTCGATAGTGGCCTGAGTGAAGAGGGCGTGTGGGTTGTATTCTGGTGAAGAGTGGGGGTTGTTGCTGGTGGAGAGTGTGGGTTGTCTGCTGGTGGAGAGTGTGGGTTGGTGCCTGTGGAGAGTGTGGGTTGTTGCCGGTGGAGAGTGTGGGTTGTTGCTGGTGGAGATGGTGTGGGTTGTTGCTGGTGGAGATGGTGTGAGTTGTTGCCGGTGGAGAGTGTGGGCTGTTGCTGATGGAGAGTGTGGGTTGCTGCTGGTGGAGAGTGTGGGTTGTTGCCGGTGGATAATGTGGGTTGTTGCCGGTGGAGAGTATGGGTTGTTGCCGGTGGAGAGTGTGGGTTGTTGCCGGTGGAGAGTGTGGGTTCGTGCTGGTGGAGAGGGTGGGTTGTTGCCGGTGGAGAGGGTGGATTGTTGCCGGAGATAATGTGGGTTGTTGCCGGTGGAGAGTATGGGTTGTTGCCGGTGGAGAGTGTGGGTTGTTGCTGGTGGAGAGTGTGGGTTCCTGCTGGTGGAGAGTGTGGGTTGTTGCCGGTGGAGAGTGTGGGTTGTTGCCGGTGGAGAGTGTGGGTTGTTGCCGGTGGAGAGTGTTGGTTGTTGCCGGTGGAGAGTGTGGGTTGTTGAAACCATAACACATTGACACTCCACAAAACCTAAACTAGCATTCGAAAATTCGAATTGAAACAATGGCCCCATAAGACTACCAGACTATGCATCAACTTAAACAGGTTTAGATCAAGATACAATTTATCAGCCAGTTATCTATTCTTGTCAGACATGGCAATGAGTGCACACCCAAATAATCTATGATGTTTTCAAATCAGTCTTGGATAAAACCAGAGGAAACAGTTGGCCTGCCCCGCTCTCTACTTCGCAAAAACGAATTTTCGTAAACGTTTCAGAAGGATAAACTAGTTTATTAATATCTGGGGGGTCACCATTGTTGTTAGTTCCGAATATGACGAGTTCATTGTGATAAAATATGGTTCCATTTAAAGTTTTGTAGTTTTTCCAGAGTTTACCCATCAATTTAAACTTTACAGTACCATCACAACTCTCTATGACCGTCCACAACTGTCCCCCGTTGTGCAAAATATATGTATTGGTGTTATCTCTAAAGCTAATCATAGATCTAGCATTATGGTGAAACTCTCCATGTGTTGTCCAAGTCTTGGTACTTACATCCAAACTATGAACGCATGTTTCATTTAAGGAACGTTCATTCTCTTGACAAAATAACAGAAGTTTTTTATTAAAGCTAACAGAATACATAATAGACCGCACATTTGGTGGTAATGACGTGAAGTCATCTGCGTCTTTGTTGTCACCTTTTGGGGAAATCCGGACAATTAAATTTCTATCGATGTCATGAGCATAGAAGCTATTTTCGTGAGGCCATAGTCGACCTATGCGCATCTCTTTTTGAATGGCTGTTAATCTATTTCCTTTAAATAAAAATAAGCTAGTTTCTCGTTCCATCCCTTGCCGACACAAATATATTTCATCATCCAAGACGGCAATACTTGGAGTGCCATGGTATATATAACTTGAATCGTCGAGCAGAAAATAGGTTTTAAATTCCGCTAAAGATATTGCTTTAATACCCGAGTTAATCATGTAAACAGCAAAATGTTGCTGTTTACTTTTTAGTATATGTGTAGCAGCTTTTGGCCAATGGTGACTTATAGCCTTATGGTACTGGACAGCACTGGAAACTATTTCTTTGGCTTCAACATTGTTCATTAATAACGGGTGCTCCTCAAGCGAATTAAGATATTCTAGACTTGTAAGACAGGTCCTCGCGGCCTTTAGCAACTCTACCAACATTTCCGTCCGACGGCTGTTGGGGCTGACGGTTTCATTTACTCTCGAGACCAGCCCAGACTCTGAAATAACCTCACGTCTGATAGCGCTACTTGCATCAACCTGGCTCTCAGTTGCTTGACCACTGCTCTTCACTACGATATCTTTTGGAAGCTCATTTGAAACTATCTCACAATATTCCCTGGATGCTGTAAGATCAGCTTGTCCAGTTTGAACATCACAGTCTACACTGCTGTCGCTCTCCTCTTTTAAACTTGTGTTTATCAAGAAAAGTGTTCCCTCTTCGTCGAAGGGGCACATAGAGTAGTTTTCGTAACAAGCTTCCTTAGAACATTCAACCCATTTCAATATAGAATCTACAACCAAATGTTCTGATCTCACTTTCAGGTTTTCGTTGTCTACGAGGAAAAGTAAATCACTGAATGGAAGTTCCAATAGTAATGGCGTCTCAATAATTCTCTCAAAATTACTCAACATAAATTCAAACGCACTGTTCAAAACTTTTTTAGAATCGAGTAACTTGGCATTTTTATAAATTGTTTCAAGATTTTTTAATGTCATCCATTTGACAATTTTCTTTTCACATCGCGTTATCAAAAAATCAATCTGTAACTGATTGGAAGCATGCCAAATTGCAACCACGTTTGATTTTGTCACGACGTCACTTCCTGTGTACAAGGACGTAAGGATGAGTTGAAAAGTGGCCAAGGAAACATCTTTCAGAACCGCCACTCTGTTGCTGGACTCCTTCATGCCAGATCTGAACAGGCCACCAAAGAATTTAGAGCATGCTCCGAGGATAAACCGATGGCATTTGATTTGATGGTGCTCAACCTCGACCGTGAAGTCAAAAAGTTCTTGCGCTTCCCAGAGTGACTCAATAGATTCGATGATGCCAAAACCAACATCCTTATGGATAACCATGATAGATCTCAAAATATAAAGCTGTTTTGTAGCTGAGAAAAAGAAAACGTTTATGTTTTTAAGCTGCTTCTAATGCGGCCTTTAAAAAATCATAATAAAAATAGTTTGAACGTTACAAATATTATATCAAGTGGCATGATGGCCCCTAGGTTAAAATTAATGTTTCCAAGCATGTCAAGCATTCGATATAAGGCAAGTAACTCTATCTCTCCCCCAGTCTGTATATTATACTTCTCTATTTCCTTGTCTCTCTCTAACTATATCATTATATATATATATATATATATATAAATATATCTACATTTGTATCTGTATATATTGATGTACTATCTATCTCACACCCCCATGACACTAAACAAGGGTCAGACAACATCTCACTCGCAGCAAACAGGCACTAACAATATTTCTATTGATATACAAATTATGTTTTTACTCACAACTTTGTTAAGATGATGACTTTGAATTAATGCGAATAGGAAAAAACCGTCTGCTTTATAATTTGAATTGAATCAGAAAATCTGCTTTATCACACCACGGCAGTGTCCTTAGGTTCTGATCTTCTTCCAAGCGAAGACTTGCCACACTTGAATGGGCCTTCGCAGATAATAAGATAACTTTGACCTGCGTTGTTACGATATGCCTATCAACCTATATCGATATGAAGCAGGACTTTGTGTCAAATAATGTGGTCTCGATACAGCTTTACATGTCAACGTAATTTAATCTATCATAATAAATAAAAAAATTCGATTACATTCTAAAAAAAATCGTTCTGTTACCTCGTCACAATTGTTTTTTAAGTGTCATACTTTCAAATATCATGGAATCGAATACATTGCTAGATGACTTGTTAAAATATTATTGGCACAATTTTGGGAATAATGATTACCACACTAACAATTATTTATTTTTTTTGGGGTGGGGGGGGGGGGGGTTTACACTACTAGTACGTAGCAATGTGTGGGGTCAAAAAAAAATGTATTAAGGAAATAAAGGGGGGGGGGGGGATGTGCTGACCAAACGTAGTAGCCCCACAGTGACCTGATTGTTCTGTGTTGTCGTGTTGTCTGACTTGACGTGATGAGTGGTTTTTTGGTGAATGTCAGAAGATTAAATGTGTGACTATTGGTTGGGTAACTGGATTGAGTGGTAATGTGATTTGGGGAGGAAAAGGAGGGGGGTATAAAAAGAATGTAGAATTGTGAACACAGTTTGTTGTTACACAGACCACAGCCTTAAGCTCATATCATATAATACCAGTGGTTCTCAACCTTCCTAATGCCGCGACCCTTTAATACAGTTCCTCATGCTTTTGTGCCCCCCCCCCGCCCAAACCATAAACTCATTTTCGTCGCTACGTCATAAATATGTGTTTTCCGACGATCTAAGCGACCCCCTGTGTAAGGGTCGTTTTGACCCCCCCCAGGGGTCACGACCAAAAGGTTGAGAACAATTGTAATATACTGTTACAACAACACACCTGGGCAAGTCAATTCTACCCTTTAATACAGTTCCTCATGCTTTTGTGCCCCCCCCCCCGCCCAAACCATAAACTCATTTTCGTCGCTACGTCATAAATATGTGTTTTCCGACGATCTAAGCGACCCCCTGTGAAAGGGTCGTTTTGACCCCCCCCAGGGGTCACGACCAAAAGGTTGAGAACAATTGTAATATACTGTTACAACAACACACCTGGGCAAGTCAATTCTTGTCATTTTATCATGTAAGAAACTGCTTAGTTTCATTATCATCCATACAGCTATCTAAAAATGATTGCAAGTGTTATAATGTTTTTATTGGTGTAGGGAATTGCGTAGGGTGAAATTGACGTCTCTTATCACACCAGTGGACCTCGATATGTGTTATTTATAGAGTTGCGATATTAAAGAAGAGTTATCCATGCAGTTGGGATATTGAAGAGGAGTGTTATCCACGATGATTGGTTACGAAAACGTTTGGCTTGCTGAATTTAAACCAGTATCAGCCTTGACCTGTATCTACTGCTTTCAGTCTTTATATCTCGATCGTTCTGACGACCATCCCAACTTGAAGGAAACTGATCTAAGAGAATTCGATGTCATTAAAAAAAAATTAATTTCTTTTTTGGACAGCATTCTTGTAACATTCGGGATTCTCGATGTGGATTTCTGTTGCTTGATAATCCTTGCACGAGCTGTCAAAATCATATCTAGAGATTAAGCCTTGAAAAAAAAATCAACTTCAAGTATCAAGAGATGAGAACATTAAGATTACACAAGATGATCAGACGACGGTGCCAAATGCCCCATAATACAACCGTTACCTACGCCGTCGCTCGCGCATGCGTGAATGCTACTTTCAAAATTTGATTGTCTCGAGTACATCCGTGACACCGGGAAAATGTCGTCAATGTTGACCCCAAAAAAAAAATAGACTCGGACACAGGGGAGCGGGTGAGCGGGGGGGGGGGGGGCAGGGCCTTTCGATTGTTTATAGACGAACCAAAAAACCGGTTTACTGCTGGGGCCGGTCGTCTGCCAGTCCATTTGCCCCAAAAGTTGTATCAACAAACTGACCCTCGGGGTGGGGTTGGGGGATGGGGTTGGACAACCAAGAGCTGACACCAGACGTATTTTCAAATTTTTTTTTTCTTCTTTTCTGTTCTTATCGTTATATACAATTTTAAATCCCAACTTATAGCAGGCGTTGCATTGTCAGATATGACTTAACGTTTTTAAAGTTTGAGTTTAAAATTGAAAATAAGTACAAGAAAAATAACGAAATGTGGAGACATTTGCATCATTCCTCAGTGTTAATAGAGTTTATATACAATAGTTGTATCCGTTATGACAAAAAACACGCCATTCTTAACGGCAAGTTCGAATTCAAGCCATTCGCGGCAATAATTACTGCGAATCTAGTCGAAATGGAAGTTTTTAATGGTTCCGACCAGAGATTGTTTCACAGGACTTGACTTTCTCGCGCCCGACCCATCAGAGGATGTGATTGTTGTACTTATAATGGTCAGAGTCAGAAAGAGATGGATCCAAAGGTTTGCTTTTTTTAAACGGATCTCGAAAGAGAAATAGGAAAGTTAATTCTATAATTGAGCTTTGCCCGGTGACAATCTTTCAGTTCCTAAATCACGAGTGTCACTGTCCCATAGCTGTCGACGTACTGACCAGATTGGTCCCTGGCTCCACACACAATAATAACTGTTCCATAACTCATGATGCACTTACCAAATCCTTCCTGGCCACAAACAACAATATTGTCACTGTCCCATAGCTGCCGACGTACTGACCAAATTGTTCCCTGGCCCCACACACAATAATAACTGTTCCATAACTCATGATGCACTTACCAAATCCTTCCTGGCCACAAACAACAATATTGCCACTGTTCCATAGCTGCCGACGTACTGACCAGATTGGTCCTGGCCCCACACACAATAATAACTGTTCCATAACTCATGATGCACTTACCAAATCCTTCCTGGCCACAAACAACAATATTGCCACTGTTCCATAGCTGCCTACGTACTGACCGAATCCTCCCTGACCACAACGACCAATATTGTCAGATCTCATGTCACATTCGCAAGTAAATAAAGTAAAAAAAATACATATATATAATCCAATCGTTGACAGGGGCGGATCGTCAGCCCCCAGACCTGGGGCGTCTCACTCTGGGGGGGATACGAGCAGACTGACTTGTCAATATCTGATCATTCCTGATGGAAGTTCCACCAGACATTTCCTCCCCTGTAACCCTCTCAAGGAAGGCTCACCTTTCATCCTGCCAAGACGATTATTTTGGTCTAAACCTGGCCTGTTGATGATCAAACTGAACCTTGTTAGGAACATTGAATGTGGTCAAGAAATCTTGAAAACTTGTTTGTAACTTCATTCAATGGTAAATTCACAGAAGAGATGCCATGTTGTTGTTTTTTTTTTTTCAATGGCCGTCATCTACATTGACAAGACCAGTTATTTCTGTCACTAAATCTAAGTAAGTGTATCCCTAACCCTAAACCTGACCCTTACGTCGTGGCATCCTATCCCAGTTTTAGACCATTCAATATATTTCTAGTTAAACTGAACTTTTCCTCTCAGATGAAGGCATTACTTCGGAAAAGTAGTTATCATTGTGTGGTAGATGAACAGTAATGTAAGACTTAATTTGTTCCTTATGTTATAGATCACTTGAGAGTGTCAGACAAAATATCTCCCCTGTTCTGCATTTCAAGGCGTAACCCCCCCCCCCTTTTTTTAACCGATTTCTCAAATATCTACTTAAATTTGACACCCAACCCCCCAAATGATGGCACGGTGCTACATAGAACTCTTTTATTATGAGAACCCTCGCTCCACCCCAGACGCCATTAGTTTTGTATACCCAGCTTTATCTCCCTGTGTGTGTGTTTTTCTTGTCTCGTTTTGATCGTGCACACTGTCAATAGGCTTTTGTTACAAGACAGAGCGCACCGTTCGGTGTGTGTTTGGGGTTTTTCCGATCAATGTTGTGAGGCAGACAGCTGGAGGATCGTATGGGAGAAATTTTTTTTCTTCTAAATAATCTTTTTCGAATTATTGTTATTAAGTTAAGTGATTTTTCGAGGTAATCTTGGACCCAACTCAGTTTGACGCTCGTTATCGTCACATGCATCCATGGATGGGTCACTCGCATGCATGGATTATCTCTCTATCCATTTAATTTACCTATTTTTTTAAAGTCATAAATCTCGTTTTTTCAATGGGTCATCTGCTTATCTCATTGGTCCATTAGTAAAGGTTAAATAAGGTCAAATCATGACATCATTTAGTACGTATCTTTGAACAAGAGATAACAGTTGTTTTTGTCTTTTTTAAAATACACATAATGAAACTAAGAATTAATAATATGCATGTATATTATTAAAATGTAAATGTTATGAAGAGCTTGTTTCCAACACTTTTTCCGTGCGTGAACTTTCTTTGACCCCGCATTAGACTTCTAGCAGACAGTAACGTTTGTTGTGGGCGTGGTTAAAAGTCTTTGATGCATCTTGTTTACTACCGACTTCCAATTAAACATGGTTAGTAGGTCTACTAGTATCTTGGCGAAGGTTCTCAATTGTATTAGAAAACTAAGGGCGTTTCTTGACGCGTCGGTAGACCCACATATATAAGGGATTGACAGGCACAGATTCAGACGGAGATTGATAGATATTTTTAACTTCACGAGACGTGTATTATGCTTTGTGTACTTATATGTGTTTATTTGCATTCTTCATTCATCATTATTAATTGACACATTGTACTAACTGTGTTAACTGTGTACCGGTACAAGATCTACCATACTGTAAGTTGATGCTTTGTAATGATATTTCTTTTGTTTTGTAATTGTATTATTACTAAATTAAATCTTATGCATTGCAATTGGCAACTGTTTTGGGTGTCGTAATTTTATGTATGGTATTTACCTATGGTATCGTCCTTAGTTAGGCACTGTTTGAACGAGCCATAACTTAAAACAAGAGATTAATTTCTCACAATAGAAGCCAGTGCCTAACAGTAAAGTAAAAATAAAAACACTTTTCAAAATGAAAGTAGGCCACGGTTGGGTTGTTTTAAGGGATACAAATTTAATCA